AATGGTGGATGACCTGCAAATATTTCCCACATTAACATCCCAACACTATAGATATCTGATTCTTTGGTGTTCTTTGTGTTATTGCCTCTAAGTAGCTCAGGTGCAATATATGATACAATTCCATAGACTTTATTTGATGATTCATCATCAACTGGCCCACATAATCCTAAATCTGTAATATAACAACAACCTCCTTCCACAAGTATATTACCACTATGTAAATCACAATGGATTATATCTTTTTCATGTATATCATCTAATGCACAGCATAGATAATAAAATATTGTAATTCTGTCTTTTAATGTTAACTTTTTTTGTAAATAATCCCTTAGATTTCCTTCTTGTGCATAATCTAAAACGATTGCATAATTTCCATTATCTGAGAATTTAGTTATACCATGACAATGAACAATCAATCCTGATTTAATTTTACAATAATTCATTGCCTGAAAATAAATATAAAATCAATTAGTATCATATAATAACAGTATTGTTTATTTTGTTTTAAATGACAACTACCAACCTTATCAAAAAAGCCTTTTCCTGGATTACTTGAATTGTTTAAACTTTTTAATACTACTCCTTGCTCTCCAAAATGACAAAATTCCTTTTTACTTTCGTTATAATCATTAATAGTTCCTCTTGTCCATGTAGCAGTAAAAATTGAACTAAATACACCTTCAGTTAACATTGTTACTTTTCCAAATTGTTCAAAAGGTATCCATTCTAAAATAAAAGATGGCAAAGGTGATTCCATTTGACATTGTTGAATAAAATCATCAATTATGTTATTTCCAGATGTCCAAGTGGTGAAAAGACTCTGTAAATGTAAACTAATACAACCTTCACAGAACCTATTAGAATATTTTGTCAATTTACACTTGTTACAATTTTTTGGTTTTCCCAATTTATCTCTTGCATTTCTTAATTCAAACTCATAAATAAACCTTTCTTTACAATATTCTTTTTCATTTCCAGAAAGCTCATTGTTTTTTTTGACTAATGAAAAAAAATAGCCTTTTCTACTTTCTCTATCACAATTAGCATTAGCATTATTACGCATTTCATTATTAATTTTATGTACAAAATCCTCTCTTTCTGGTGATAATGATGATAATCGGTTAACATGTGACATTATATAAAAATATAATATAAAAATTTGACTTGAGCAGAGTGGAGATTTTTTTTTTTTTTGAGAATAACGGGTTGCATTCAGGACTGTTAAAAATCCGGATTTCCTTTAATATTAATATTAATTATAATAATAATATTAAAAAATTTTTAATTTCCAGAAAAAAAAGTGTTTCGGATATTGTTATTATTATTATTATTCCTTTTTTATTTTCCATCCGCATAAAAAATTTTTTTAAAAAATACAATTAATATTCTAGAAAGAACATCCAATCACAATTTGCTTCTTTTGAATTTTCAAAAGAATCAATTTTAAAATACATAACTATAAAATTCTAGATATATCTCTAACAAAAATAAAAATAAAAAAAAAATTATCTCCGATCATTTTGAAAAGAAAAAAATTTGGCATGAAAAATTTTAAAAACCTACATATTAACGTATTATGAGATTTTTAGACGTGATAATCTAATTTCATCTGACTATTGAGGAAAAAATTTTTTTACATGGTTTTGGATAATTTTTTTTTAATAATTTTTTTAAAAGATTTGATAAAATTTAAAGTCATTTTTAATAATAAAATTATATTTTTTTTCTTTACAAAAATGATCAAAGTTTGTTTCATTATTATTTTTTGAGCTGCATAAAAACTAGAGATCTAAAATTTTATATTCAAGTACATGAATACCTAGTTACTAGGATCCAAAAATAATATAAATTTTTTGTGCAATTATTATGTACATTTTTGCGCAGTTATTAGTTTGGGGTGGCCGAAACTTTTGGGGAGGTAATGTATATACACTAAATATAAAATTTATGACACTGAAGAACAATTGTTAAAGGTTTGTAATACAATATATCTATATGCATATATATACAGTCCACAACATAGAAAGAAACAACCAAAAGAATCAGGTAACTAAAAACAAATTAATAAAATAAAGAGAAGATGATAATCAATGAAAATAGGGTAATCTTTCTTTTTTTTTCAAATCTTTTCATATAGCAAAACTCAAGAAAAACACGTCACCACTTTACCAAAGTCTATATACTGGTGTAAATAAATGCCGATTTCAGAATTGACGTGGGAAGACCCTTTGGCCAGTCAAGTAATTAGTGGCAATTCAAAGCTGGTGCATCAATTGTCAGGGCACTTGCAATATACTTTTGTGAAACCTCCACGCTTAATGGTACCTCCTACCCTTCCACTGATAGTGCAAAATAAATGCAGTGATTATGTTGCTAGCTTTATTGAGGATCGTATGATTGCTCCACCACGAAAACTCTCACATGATGGCACCTGGAAAGAATCAGACAGTGAGCTCACAAATGTTGTGGAAAGAATCTTGGATAACCAGTAAGTATGCTTTGGATCAATCGAGTCTTTAGATCCTAATTCTATATTACTTATCTGCTTTGATTAGAAATGATTCTCCAGCATTTGGGTCAGATTTTGTAGATTCTTTAAATGAAGGTACATATGTGACCAATGTAGTAGTACCAGTGATCTGGGCGACATTGAAGGATCTTCCTTTGGGTAAATCTACATTTGTCAATAGTTTTGAATGACAAAGCAATGCTAGCACAGATAGAAGGGGTGATGGGAAATCTGAAAAACGACCAGATATAATGTTTGTGATGAACATAGTAGAAAAAATTACAAACTCCTATATGCTGAATGCTCACGCTTATCTTGTACAAAACAAAAAGAAAAAGATGATCAGGTGAAATTATGACGTGAAGTTAATGATGGGATGTTCTGGGTTCGCAAAAGTTGTAAGCCCGATAAAGATGAATTTGGAATTATAGGAGTACAGGTCGCAGGGAGAAAAATACGTCTAAGTGTTCTTATTTGAGACATGAGTGAGATCCATAGATATTATAATCTTCATGAATCAGAAATTCCTGTTCAACAGTCAGATCCTTCCATTGTGACCAAATTTGTTGAGAATTTGTTAATATTGCGTAATATCCTGATAATTAGTATGGCTTCGCTACATAGCAGTGTCTTTGTCTTGATCAACTAGACACCTGGAGGATAGTTCCACCACCAAGTTCACTATCCTCACATAGGTCATCTTCACTAAAGAAAAGAAAATTGCATCAAACGAATAATTAGTATATCTATATTTTTATCGGAATTTATTAATTGAAGGCAGATTAATTAATAATCTTATAGATAGTTATTTTTTTTTAATTAATTCAATTTTTCATTTATTCCAGTATGACCATATCTTTTTGTCTGTCATTTTTGATACTACGTCCGTGCAGTTTATTATTAATAAAGAATTTAACCCAAAAGGTCACAATTTATCAAGAATTATTTTGTGTATCAATATGTGATTAAAAATTTTCTCGGAAAAGTGATAGGCATTCCAAAACAGAATGAACTTCTCTGGCCCAAATGATTTACCATAAATCGAGGTAAGCACATTAACCATATCTCAATCCAAGTATCGAATTTCGAAAATATTCAATGCTACTCTGAATCTTTCCCATTCAAGAAGAAACTACCAAAAGAGAAGCGTAATGATGTTGTCAGTAAATTAACAACTCACTTCAAAAATTAAACCTACATTTTAGTATATGTAAGGAAGGTGAGTATCAGATTGATTCATATTTTATTATCGGTCTACATTGTCCACAATGCAGGAAACATCATATGAGTTTGGTTGGTAAGTGATGGATTGATAACCAAGACAATAGAACTTATTATTTGCAATAATGTCAAAGATTCAGGGATACCACTCAATAAGTTATTACGAAAATGAATGAATCTAACTTTTGAATTGAATAAATAATTGGTTATTTTTGCTGGCATTCTTTACATAGTTCTGTACCTAATGTTACTGGTATTAAACATTCTCGACAACTGGTTAATGTTGATGCTCCGAACGAATATATAGATACCTCGCATTTGAATGTAATTTTAGATATCACGGGAAATCAATAAATAAAATCGGAAATGATTTACGAAAGTTGCACGCAAAAAAAATTGATCAAGTATTCAAACCAGTCCAAATTCATGTTCAACCACCAATAAAATAATTGACTCGCGAAAAATATCTCAAACAACGGAGAAATAAATGTTCTAACATTCTAAAATGTAACAGACCTTTAATCCTTAGATTTAAAAATTAAAAGAAAGAATTTAAATTACTTGATTTCGACCGGAGATAACTTGAAAGAAATTCTACACGGAAGGTTCAAATAATGTTTAAGGAATATATTTAAAATTAGGATAATTTAGGATTTCAAAGAAATCGGAGACTAGATTATAGAACCTTTAACATGCATAAATAACGTTGTAATTTTCTTAACTTCATGTAATATCTTTATCTTCATCTCTATCTTGTAACAACAATATCTTAATAATAAAATACAAACATGAATATGCTTTTTTTAACTAAAACACTTGCCAGTGGAAGAACCCATTCGCTTGCTAAACTAAACTAACCAATTAATTACTATTTTACCAGGGAGACGCCTTTGATAAGTATAGTTGTGTGTATATTTCTTTTGATTTTATTTCTTTGGCTTAGGCCAACGCCTAAGAGGAGTAAACCTTAGCTGGGTGCGGCCAGTCCATAAACTGAACCTAAACATAAAGGAACAAGGCCCAACCCGATCGCGGCTAAGTAATAAGAAAGCCTAAAGAACAAAGGCGGATATTTAGGAAGGTAAATATCTTGAGGAGAGCTGTTCCACTCAATGCTACTGTCACCGATTATTATTTGGGGAGCGTATTAATTGATGATAACAATCAAAATGAATTGGTCTACCAACGAATTATTAACGATTTATAAAAAAAATTAATTTTTTTTATTTAGTAACTAATTTATTTGTTAAACTTATTATTGATAAATTTTTCTTTAAATCAAAAGTGAACTCATGCATAATAGATTTTTTAAAGCAAGATAATTATGATATACGTGGATTGTTTGAAAAGTTTTGAGCCTCTGTTTACTGTACAATTTTTTATATAATAATAAAGAAAAATAAATATAAATACTATGAATTTCATAAAAAACGTGGTATTGTTTATATTTTTTGATTAAGTTATTAAAATTTCAAACTTGTCTTCTAAAATAAATGGCTTCTAAATGCAAATTAATAACAAATCTCTTGGAACAAGAAAGGCTTGTAATTACGCCACATCCTCCATACAGTACTGATTTGGAACCTTGCGACTTTTATTTATTTCCCAAAATTAAAACTACTTGAGGAAAGAAGTTTAATAGCATTGAAATTTTGGCAAGAGCTGTTCAGTCAATTGTTGAAAACATCCCAAAAGAGGAATATATAAAGACATTTGAAAATTGGTAGAGAAGGCTGAAACTTCGCATGGATGTAGATGGTGAGTATTTGGAAGGATTGATGTAATTTTTTATTTATTATATATAAATTTTTTAGAAGCAGAGAAATGGTCAAAACTTTTCAAACAACCCATGTAAACTTTATTATGATATGACATGAAATTTTTCGATTGATATATATATAAGTGTCTAATACTAACAACACTTTTATTACAATGAAGAAAGATAATAAAATAATAACAAATATAAAATACATGGTAAATTAATGAATATTTGTAAATCTATGAGGCTGCCAAATAATAATGATGACGATATATACGTTAAATCTGAAGGCACTTCTTTTTCGAGTTTTTGAAAATAAAATAAAAATCACATGATATAAATTTTTTTGCAAAAACAAAAATGGAATTATCAACAAGTTCTAAGAACTTTTCTACAGGAGTTGACATAACTTCGCTATTTACAACTTTTAAAAATTCATTGGATGAACATGTAATAATCTTAATTGTTATTATTGTTATCATTACATCAATATTGAAACTTATTATGAATTAATATTACCATGATAATTTATTAAGAAAGTATGCAAGGCGTGAACGAATTATTAAATGCTCAAGGTTTTGTAATAATAATATTATTATATATTATTTATTTTACTGCAAGTTTTGTAATTTATTTCTAATAATCTTAATAATAATCATTAGAGATATCACAATTCAAAGTAAAAATTTAATAACTTTTGCACAAAGGTAAAAACAAAAATACAACCAAGAATTATTAATATTATTATAAATAAATAAAAAGGTATTTCAAGTATATTTAAAAAACAATAATTTCTCAAAAAGAATCACACCAAAAACATTGAATTCATCAATTGAAAAATCTGCAACAACAAAACAGGAGATTCTTAAATTGTTTAAAGATATCTCTGTAGAGTTACAAGGTGTTAATTATTATAGGTAATAAATATCGATGTTATTGAATTATCATAATGATTATTATCATTACCTCATAATAACCATAATCTCATAATAATCATAATCATAATTATAATGATTATCATCAAGGTATCATAAAAACATTAGTGATTCATTGCAGGAATATATTGAGGCAATGTCTCTTCTAGAGTACTTGCATAATAGAAAATTGCTTGACAAAATTAAAGATGTTGATAATGATTTCAAAGATGAAAATGGAACTCAAGTAATTAATAGTATTGTTTCTTTATTTTTATGTGAACATGCGATTTAATAATAATAATAATAATAATAATAATAATAATAATAATAATAATAATAATAATGGTCACATTGTTATTATTAGTTTTTACAAGTAACAAATGAAGATTACTTATTAGGTGTAGCAGATCTATCGGGTGAATTGATGAGATACGCAACGAATTGTATTGGAAGAGGTGATCATGATTTTGCATCAATTATTGGTCGATTTTTAAGAGATTTAAAATCTGGTAAATATAATATATAATTTGGAAATAAATTTTCTAATTGATCCTTATATTAATTGCATATAATATTTTCAATAGATTATGAAATCATTGCTCACAATAAATATTTCGTAAGAAAATTGGAAGTTATGAAACAAAATTTAAATAAAGTAGAAGATGGTAAAGTTTCATTTCATTTTTTCAATTTCAATCTCTATATATTTTTATTTTGGAAAAATTTTTTAACTTTCATGATTATTATATTTTCAAGTTTGTTATGCAATTAAAATTCGTGGATCAGGTATTTTTTTTTTCAAATAATCTGCACAATATCCATATATATATGTTAATATTTTAATAAATATTTAATAAATCATTTTTATAGAATATCCAAAAGAATTCTATCAACATATAGTTGCTGAACATACTAAAAGGTTTGAAGAAACGGACTGATGAGTAAGAAACAATGATCATTTTATATCTGATTTTCACTCATTTGAGAAATTTGCATTGAATTTGTTTTTTTAGCAGAATATATATTAATAATAAAAATTATTGTTTGTCTTTAACAAGTAAAATTTGTTATTCTAAATTGGAATTACCCTATTATAGTTGACTTTGATGAAAAGAAACCCCCATTGCTGTTGCTGTGTCAGCAAGATTTTCTGGCCACAATCACATACAGTAGTGGGGTCAATTTAAGTCCCCTAAAAACTTCAGGCCTTTCTCTCTCATTCTTGTTCATGTATAAAAATATGTTCCTTATATCTTGGGCAGTGTTAACACCATGATTCCAGTGGGTTTGGCACATATAGTTGCAGTTGGGTTAATCCAATCCAGATGACTTTTTTGAATTGGTGTACTATATCCAACTTCATCAAGATAATCTATTGCATTTTCCTATAAGTTTTAAATTAAGTATCAAATAACAACAGAAAAGGAAAAAATCAAAATCTGATGTAGTTTCATAACAATTCTAGTTCTCTGGAATTGTACAATCAGCACCACTTCAACCTATAGACAAGTTCCTGAATACTCAAGTTTCATTGCACATACTACCATTTCATATCCATTTATAAAATTGCTAACTTTTTCC